ACTCATCCGTATGTGGTGTCTATATTGTGACTCCTTAGGCTCAGGAGGGTTTTGAAACAGTTTAATTTTGCTTCAATATACTGCTTTGGCAGTAATCAAGGACTAAATCGTGTGTCAATTTACGTGCTGACTTCTTCGTTGGTTGGTTTACCTTTTTAACACTTTTTGTTACTTCTTCCTTTACTGTTAAACAGTTTACAGCGTATGTTGTGTTAAACGAAAGAAAAACGGAGGTTTATCACTTATTTTGAAAACAAGAATACTTTGACTTTTACGTAGGGAAAGAAAGTGATGTCCGTTGCTTTTTTTTTTAATTTGATACTTTTACAGTACCTTAACTTCAGCACTAATGGTTTTGTAAGATGATATGGCTCCCGTGAATTACACTTTTATAGTTTATGAACTGTATAATTCGTAGGCACAATCACTTATAGTCATTTTTACATTTAAGAAACCCTTCATCGTTTTATTTTAAGTTTAATTTTCTTGTATAAATTTTTTTGTAGAATATAAAATCAACACTTTCAACTTATTCGTTTTGATACCGAATATTTCATACTAATTCTACAGACAACAGTGAGCAACACTTTCTTGCATCTTTCTCCCTTAGCAGCCTGTTGCCATGACTAAAGAAATCGACGTCGTTTGCGTATTGCTGTACGAGTCGAAGTGCACCACTTCACAGGCGTTCCGGTCGTCTCCAAATGGGACTATTAATGCACTCGGCAAATTGCCAGCAAATGGCAATTTTTGTGACGCCATTGCACAAAGTTTATACTCTGCCTTGGTTCTTAACTCAGTCAGTAATTTTAAGCCCTTAACTGTACTTTTTTTGCCTTCTTGTTGATGAAGAAGGCTCAAAATTTTTCTGGTCTGTGGAACGAACATTCATGCATTTTTAAGCTTTATTTTGATTTCTTTTTCTTACACTATTTCAAATAGAAAGAGTTTTTTGTTTTAGTTTTTTGCCATATCCTCAGTTACTTTACTTTCATCACCGTAATGCCCATAGAAGTTTCTTGCTCAGAAATACAGCACTTTCTCAGAACGGTACTGTTTTTTTCTGTGTATTATGTGTCCTATTTTCGAAATAGTTTCTTGTAATCACGGCATTCATGCAGGGAATTAACCGGTGGTTACTGCCGAAATGTACAAGAAATAAACAACACTGATTGGATTCTGGCTTTTTGAGCGCTTCCTCAATCTCTTTATACTTTATTTTACTTTATTCTGCTCTGGTATATTTTTTTCATTTTTCTGAGGGGAAAGAAAAAGGGAAGTAGTTATGCGTTTCTTCATAATGATAAATTTAATAGAAACTTTTCCAGGGGAAGGCTGTAGAGGTTGTGTTGAAATGCCTAATAAGAAAGTGTGATGAAGGTATCTGATAAGTAGTAGTTTGAACTCTTTCATTCTGTTAAACAAGAATTCTAGTCACAAAAGCAGCAACTTTGGTTTCTCAGTCGTAAGTGTAGACAAGAGAAATAGCAGTGACTTGTTCTCATATCGCAGTAGCAGGAGATAAAATTACATATGTAGGAGTTCTTCACTTATTCCTTCCCAATTGATAAACTGGAATATTTTGTTCCCACCACAATCCTGTGGCCATTTTGAAATAGATATTATGAACTTGTGAGAACTGTACAGGATTTGTAGCAGGTATTAAGCGTCGAAGGACAGTGCTGTTTGAGAACAAGGTTAAATTATGTTTGTATAATTTCTGGAAGGAGTATTTTTTTGTTTGCGAGACAGTATAGAGTGGGTAAATGAAATCTAAGGGGAAGAAAGTTGAGCTGTTCATAACTGACAAAATTATTTTTGTTGCCTTGAACACTTTTTAGAAAATAGGACAGAATATGCCGAAGAAGGAGTTTTTTTAAGTTATCTTAGTTCGACATTTTTATAGCTGCAGCGTTTCCGACGGTTAATCAGCGTGTACTTTGCATAGAAAGGATGGGACTGTTGATAAAAGTGTTATTGGAATGGATGTCCTGCGTGAAAAAGCTAAACTTGAGCTGCTGTTCAAGGGCGTATGCAGAGTAAACTGGAATAGTTTTTCTTTATTTGGTCGTGCATGAATAATTTCTTTACGAAGAAGTCTGATGTTTTGCTATTGGAAATGTTATACTGTTTAACTGTGAAATTACCAAGAGCAAATACTTTTATTTTGAATTTAGGATTCAGAAGCGAAAAGTGAATTTAAAGGTACGTGCAATTGAAACATGTGTAGTGGACTTTTGAGACTAATTTTAAAATTAATCAACAGCAGCTATTAGGTAATAAAAATTATTGTAAGTGATGAGAAACTTTTAGGAGAAAATGCGTTAAGAAGTAATCAGTGTTGCCGATAGTGTGATTTAAAACAATAAAGCGTATTTTGACACATATACAGTTTATCAGTTGCAAATTTAGAGGTACGGAAATCATTTTAAAGTTTGATGATTTACTCATTTGTTCCTTGAATTAGTTCCATCTCGGTTTTTAATGAATTGCGCTTTTCTTTATCTGAAAAAGTAGCACTTGTCGTGGTGCTATTTGTTGGGCCAGAAAGTAATGGTCAAGGGTTGCTTCAGAACATTGAAAGAAAATAAGATGTTTTCAAGGTTCGTAATCACTGTTCGGCTGAGTCAATATTTAGTAACAAAAAATGACTGATGCGGATTCTTCACATAAAGTTAAAAGTTATTCGTATCGACAAACCTTTTGGCTTATTCTCATTCAAAACTACAACCTAACTGAGAAATTTTGAGAAAAATTTTACGTTTTTACTTGGTGATTAATGAAGGGTGGCAATAATGATGAATGCAAATTTTTATGTTGGTTGATTTGATTAGGTATGGAAGGTCATCTCCGCTGCAGGGAAGGGTCGGTTCTCCTTTCTCGACTTTTTTTTTTTTAGAGTCTCAATTAAGTGTAGCTAAGCGTATTCTTTCTGAAAATCCGACTGGCTGCCGCTGCATTTTTATGTGGAGGCAACCAATCGAATTTACCTCAGAGGCAGAGACTGTTTTTTGATCACTGCTCGTCTTTTGAATTTACGCTGTCCCCTTTTATCTCTTCATCTCAGGAGGGCTTCCAGTTGGCGATTTTGCGATTTTGCTGATAACAGTAACTTATTCAAATACTGTTCGACTGTGCATAAGGAAAAGTCAACAAATGACTCGTCTTCGTCTTTCTTCGGGACAGTATCAGCTGTTCTTATGTTTCTGCTTTTTCTGACATTCTCTCTATCAGCCAATTCGTGCATGTAAACGTTTTTTTTTT